TGACGAATGCAGCTATTGATTTTTTTTGCATGCTATCATGCTAGTTAACATTTATGTCAGTCAGCTGTTGGCTCTTGCGCTGGCCAATAGAATCTTCCTGCCTATTCGTGGCAGCCAGGTATACTCTGGCCAGTAGAAAATGGCTGCAAACTACATGAAAATTGCTGTAGAAGCATGAAAAAATTGATTATTTCCACTATCGATGGGAGTTGGAAAATGCAACCTAAGTCTTGACCTTCCCACTAACTTGGAGCATATGCATGTAAATTTTGGTGCAAATCCTTCAAATTGTGGCCGTGCATTCGTTACACACACACACACACACACACATCCTGCCTTTTATAGATAGAGATAATGCTTTAGGTTGCACAACTCACCCTAGTACATATACTCTGAGCCAATCATATGCCTAACCACACTGCACTTTGAACCTACTTCCTTTTTTTTTAAAGTTTGGGGTGAAAATATAAATCCAAATAGAACTGATTGGTGCAGCCCCAGTCATAATATCAAAGTTCAAATTTTATTGTTCAGTCACCTTTTTGGTTGTAACAAATAGATAACTTGCCTATGCTTGCCCCTGCCCAAGAAACCTTGCTTGCTTCTACAATATTAAATCAAATGTGAGTAGGGGATGCTTATGCATCACCAGGTAACCTTTGTTACCAGTGGGTCTTAGTCCTCATAGATATGAGTAAGCTTGTTTTGGTACCTTAGATCACTGGCTGGCACAATGCTTCTAACCTAATGTTCTGTTGCCTTGGTTTCTGGGTCAAGGAGACATGTACACTTAGTGTTTCACACCTGTATCTTATTTCCTCGATTGTTTTGTCCCTTTATTAAGGGTGCTGGAGGTAGAAATTTTCTGGGTTTTGTCATTATCCATCTGATTGGGGAATCTTCCACGTCAGCCAGTTACCCCTGCGTGGATAAATAATCTATTCCTTGTAAGTGAATGACAAGCATTCATTGGTTAATCTACTTCAAACTAGCTTGCTGATTGGTCAGTTTCGACCAATCAAACTGCCTGCATGCGACAAATCTGTTTTCCCGCTTTCTCCATCTGAGCCAGTCATGTGATACCCGATCATATATACACAAAAATCACGAGTGATTCACTCTCTTCTCTTCAACTTCTTTCTCTTACTCACTCTCGTGTCTCATCTCTTGCTGACAAAATGTAACCTTCAGTAACTCCCGTCTTGACCAGTACAGTCAGATGTTAAAGAACTTTATAACATTCATGCAAGTACAATTCTCAACTCTTTTGGCCCAACAGACAATTCTTATCCTGCAACAACTCATTCTTCTAAATTACAGTTTAATAATAATTACTTCTTTATGAGCTCAAGTACAAATATTTCCAAGTCTAAGAGACATAACTCTGTCAACCTTTCAGTTCACATGCATATATATCAAATACTTAATAAATTCAATTTTTACATTTTGAAACAATACGTCATGATTTGTTTCTACTATTTTTTCTTTAATTGTTGTGGACGAATGTTTTAGAACACCAACATTAAAAATCCTTCTGATCACTCAAAATACATTCGCCAGTCTGCAACATGATAGTCGGGGATCAGAACATTTGAGTAACATCAAAGGAGGATATCCTATCAGCAGGTATATAATATCAGGGTTGTTATACTGCCATTTTGTGAATGGGTTCTGGATCATGCAGTAGTCCCAGTTGAGCCTCTCAATGCAATGACGGAGTGTACTGTTACGGTTGTACATCTGGACAAATCAATCCAGATTATTTATACTCACATCATCTATGGATGTTTCTGTTTCCCTACCTACTTGTCTTTCATCAAACAAAATACAATCCACACATGAAATCAATGACCAAAATTAACAAACACAACCACAAAAAAAAGTAGATCCCAGCTATACTTTCTCCTATACCAATTTCAGGGGTCTATGTTCCAACTTTCCAGAAGTGGAACTCCATCCTCTTGAGTCCAAACCCAACCTCATCTTTTTGTATGAAACTGATAAATGCCTCAGCCTCACTGTAGGAGCTCACAATTCTTGTCTACTTGCTCCTAACAGCCAAACACAACCACTTAAGTCACTATCGACTCAGTGCCTACATTAAGTACAGGTTTCTCTGTGGCCAGGAGGCAAAAAATGAGGACTGATCTTCCATATATGTGCTTCCACATGGCACTTATCCATAGTACCACATTTGTTTTCTCTCTCTATCATCCTCGGGACAATGGCACATTAATTTTTGATTGAATATCTGAAAGGATTGATAATATCCTCATCAAATTTCCCTCAGCTATTTTTCATTTTTGTGGTGATTTAAAAATCCACCACGAAGAGTGGTTAGTCCATTTGATCAAAACCGATGAAGAAGGCAGATATTGTAGAGACTTCTTCATCACCTATGAACTAGCGAAGAAACCACATGAATCCCTTACAGGACACCAGCTAATGCTGCTCAACCTTTCCCTCACATCTTACCCTGAAAAATGACAAGTTCAAGGCAAGTTTTACCCCCTTCGGCACATTAGACCATTCTCTAGTCAGTCTCCAAATTTGTGCCAAACTAAAGGCATCCCCTGATTTTCCATTCCATAAAACAATTTTTCACTACATGATGGCAGACTGGGACAGCTTTAGATCTTACTAGAATACCCATGACTGGATATAAAACGTTGAAGTTGATTTCAACATTAAAAAACTGTCCATTTGAAGAAAGTTGAAATAAAAATACTTACTATATAAACAACTTGTATCTTCAAATCTTATTCACTTAAAATATTTTTTTAAATCAGATTAACTTAAAAATATTTTTTTAATATGCCAAAAAATATTTTAAAATCATATTCACTTGAAAATATTTTTTAAATATGGCAAACAATATTCTTTAAATATTTAAAATATTGTTTGTTCAAAGAAAGCTGAAATATAAATAAGCATGCATGCAATCATAGAGAGGCAGCTGACGTATACATAATTCACAAACTTTTAGTATTATATGGATATGCTGGAATCTCTTCTCTTAACCTTCTTCAAGATCTACCTCCAAATCTGTTGACTTCATCTTTGAATGGATCCTTTCTGGAATGGAAAGTAAAAAGTAAAAATAAGATCATCCTTGATTATGGCTAAAGTATAACCAAAAACACTTAGAAATGCAGAACATTTGGACAGTTTCTACACACTTTTTCCAGAAAATAAAATACTTGTATGAACACAAGAAAAATTAAATAAAAAGCAGTCATGTTTAATGAAACACATGTATGTATTTATATATATATATATATATATATACACAAGCACAAGGGAGAGGTGAAAAGGTCTTGGCCTGACCAAGAAGCCATTCCCAAAAGATTTCTCTTTGATTAATAAAAAAAACTGATATCTGTTTATGTGGTCAAATTTAGGGATGTGGGTTGAGCTGTGAACTTTTCAGCAACCAACACATAAAAAGGGCACACACACACACACACACACACATATATATATATATATATATATATATATATATATATATATATATAGAGATAGAATATGAATAGATATATAGATGAGTAGAGAGAGCAGTTATAGAAGAGATGAGTAGTTTTGTGATATTGGGTGATCTCTTCAAGTACAAATAAATGACAACTTAAAAATTTAATGACCATAAAAATATAGTTCTTTTTTTTAGAAATAATATCTTCAAAAGATTGACTCACTGACACTGAATTCATAGCTTCCTAATAAACATGTAAAGAGTGAATAGCAAAAGAGAGCTAGACAGATTCCCAAGTCATTGTCACCCTTACATGCATATATATATATATATATATATGCATGCAAATAGATTGTTTGAGAAATTTCTTAGGAATTCTTAGAGAGTAGAAAATAGCTTGGAACCTACAAATAAAAGTAAACATCTTTTTGCCAGCACAAAAAACCACAAAAGGTGAAATGAGTAATGGAGATTCTTATGAAACAAACATTTGAAAATTGCACCCAGACTTTTCATACATAATTAGAATATCCTCAGGGTTTTGGTAAGATTTAGCAGATTTATTTATTAACCTAGTAAAAGCACTCATCAAGTTTAGTAATTTGATGATATCATTTGCAAAAATAACAGAATTAATAAAGAAGCACTAATAAAAAAAAATATTCTATAAATCACTAAGGTTGAATTTACTGGTACAGATGCTTTAGAATTTAAAATTTGAAATTAGTTTTGTATCTTCTCCCCAGTTCTCATGAAGTCATACTTGGTTTCTTCAAAAATTATCCTTTCAGTTGTTGTTCATTATTTCAATATTATTTCATTATTATTAATATCAATATTATTTCATTATTTCCTCATTTCAGCATACATAAAAAAAATTTTTATGAATCAAAATTAATTAAAGATTAGGAAGAAATGTTCTTAGTTTTGAAAATAAGGAGGTCATGTGCCATGTTCCCTTGGTATAGACGATCATGGCTCTCCACAAATTTCTGTCCTTTGTAGCTCTTAATAAATTTCGTCTTTTTCTTGATCCAGAACTCTGTTCCACCATCCATTTACTAAAGCTCACTAGGTATGTTATGTATTGATTTCATTTGTCTCTCTTGCCTTCAGTCTGTCCCGTGAGCATCAGATTTTCTAAATCCTCTTTCCTCATTATGTGCCCTAGAAATTTGAGCTATCACTTCCTGATGTTAAATATAAGTTTCCATTTTCTTTAAAACTTTGTTCTTGCTCACATGTTCTGTCTATGGTATCCTCAGTATCTTTCTATAGAATCACATTTCTGTTGCTTTAAGTCTCTTCTTCATTTTTGAGAAGATTGTCCATCATTCAGTACCATATACAAGGACAGATATCATGTAACAGATGAGTTGTCTTTTCTTTGTTTCTTAATACTCTGCTTAGCTTTTGGAATGCATCTTATATGGCAAGTTTTTTTTAAAGATCTAAATCATTTTCTGTGTAATTGATGATAAGGTTTTAGTTGATCCATTCTTCAGTCAGTGTGCATTTCATGAGAGGCTTACAGCCATATCATGTTGAAACACTGGTTCTCGTACAATCACCAAAGTTAAGCAACATAAAGCCTGGTCAGTACCTAGATGAGTGACTGGTTGGGAATATGTGGTGCAGGTAGTATAATGGATAATAGCTTGGAATTGGAAATCAAAGAAATATAGAAAACCTAATGACAAACCACTTTACATACAATACCACATTTAACAATAATCAAGCAGATCTCACAATCAGTTAACCATAGGTTATCAAGACAATTCTCTCAATGAAACCATCTTCAGTGAATGCCAAAGAAAGTATGAAACAGCCTTAGAAGATAGTGGATTTTCCACAACACCCACATACACACTAAGAAGTACAAAAAAAAAAACAAGAAGAAGAAAAGAAACAACATATGGTTTAACCCACCATAAAACAAAAACATAAAAACCAATGTAGGAAAAATATTTGTTGAAAACATGCAAAAACCTACCTCCATCAAGAAATCTCCACAAGATATTCAACAGAAACACAGTAAAAATCAGCTACAGTTGCACTGAGAATATGATACAAATAATAAGAAAGCACTACAGAAAAATAACCAACAAGTCACCCACACAAATCACACCCACTTGTAACTGCATAGCAAGGAACAAACTTCTCTTTGCTTGCACAACAATATAACAAGCCACTGTAAAATCAGCAGATAATGAAGAAAAAATATACATAGGAGTACTGAAGGACCTTGGAAACAAGGAAACTATACACACAAAACATCCTTTGCAAATGGCAAATATGTGAATGTATATGGGGAAATTAAAACCAAAAACCAAATTACACCAAAAATGTCATGGAAAATAGGGAAAACAGTATCAGCCTACAACAATGAATACAAAAATGGTAAAAATCTATGTGGAGGAGACAATAGCTATAATCAACTTCTCAGACCACACAAATTACTGAATAAATGATCAGAACTCTTCTCAAAATGCAGACATGAAAACAAATTTCTACTATGTTACGTAAATATTGAAAACTTAAAATGAACACCTTGTAAAATGCCACCATGAAAAACACAAATACATATGATATATACAACACAGATGATGTAATATACTTTATACAAAGACAACACATTGAACTAAAAAAAAAATATAAAATCCCCACTCAAAATAAACAAAAAATTTAAATAAATAAAGTCATTAATAAACACATTAATAAACTACAAATACACACATAAACACAAGTAAATGTAATAATAATAAACAACAAATAATTAAGTAATCAATAATGAGTAAAAAGTTAACAAACAACAATGTAAAATAAAATAAATAATTGCATTTTTCTCCAGAATAATTTTTACTCACTAAAATAATTTGAAATATAACTTCTTTTTTTTAATCAGTGTCACCCCAAGCAAGGTAGTACAGGCACTATAAAGCAAGGGGTTACACGGTGTGGAGGAATTAGGAACAGAAATATTAGTAATGAGGGGAAATAGAAAAAACTAATCAGGAGGATAGAAAGTGATTTAAATTTTTATCGATTAAAGTTGGCTGGAAAGCATGGAGTTGGAAAGGACTTCCACAAATGAGAAGTGCAAGAAAAGTAACTGTCAACATAGAAGTTAAGGCTACATCTAGCTAGCTTAACTGTAAATTAATGAGATCTAGCTGCCAGTCTAGTATTGAACTTAAATTCATACAGTCTAGGTACCATAGTGAAGAGGTCATCTGAACAATTAACATGAAATATTTATAAAAAAAGCCACAGGGAGGCAACCTTACAACAGTTGGAAAGTGACTGAAGCTGAGCCACCAGATCTGAAGAGGTCATCTGAACAATTAACATGAAATATTTATAAAAAAAAGCCACAGGGAGGCAACCTTACAACAGTTGGAAAGTGACTGAAGCTGAGCCACCAGATCGGGACCAATAATATAACTGATTCTTCTTTGAATCTTATCAAGGTAAAGTCACACATTATGAAAAATGTCTTAAAATAATTGTTGGACTTTGTCCATTGTTTACATTTGATATGCCATGAGCAGATATGAATGTACGTGAGAGGTTCATGGAAGATTGAAGTTTAAATACAGTAAATTTGACCTTGCTAACCAAACGCTCCTTTGTGGCCAAATCGGTAAAGGCACGTCAAGCTAAATCACGGTTCCAGAGGACGAATATTTTCTGTGAAAATTTCTCAGACGGTAAATGTTGTTTAATACTGTTTATTATAAACAGAGCATTTACTTAAACATTTGTATCTATAAAAAGAATCTATAAACATAAAAATGTCTTAAAATAATATATATATATATATATTAGCTTAAGTAATGATCCTCAGTCTTCTTGAAGTTTTAAGTGTACATTCTTTATTTTGTGCTTATAACATTATGATCAACAACTGCTGTTTGTTCACTTCTGGGCTTTGATTTCAAGGAACAAATGCTAAAACCATTTTTAGGAAGTCTGGTTGAATATTCATTTATTTCCATTTCATAAATTCTGCAAGTAGTAAAGCCCAGTTTAAAATAATGCACCAGTATTGCCAAAATTTCAATATTAATATCCTCTATTTTTACATATGCAACTAAAGTTACATAGTATTTATATAATATTATATATATCAAAATAATATAGAGAAGTCAAAGATAGTCTTTAGATGAAATAAGTTTTGGGGCAAACATCTTTTATTTTGATACAACCTAATTTACAATAGTAATTTAATATCATGAGTCATAAAAAAAAAAATGACTTTTGATAAAACCTTTTTGTACAAACCATATAATAATTTAGTGAGTGCAATGGTGGGCATGAAATAAGCTTTTTGCCATTTTATCTTTTTTAATTTCATGCAATGGGTAATTGTTGCCATTTTTCTTTTTTGATTTTCGTTGATTGTTTGATTTCGTTGACTGCACAGTATAGTAGAGTCAGTTAAGCACTGTCTTGAGAAAGAGAGCACCATAAGTCAATTCACTCTGCCAGAAATTTGGAAACAGCATGTTGTACTGCCTGGCATTCATGCTGGAAACTCTAATACAAACATTTCAAAGTGTTTATGTGGCAATCTGAGAACAATGTAAAGGATTCAGAAAGAGTTGGATGATATATCCAGTCAAAATCATGGTGTTTGGAGTGATAACTAGTGAGGGCTTCAGACTCAACACAGAGGCCTACATCAAGTGCCTTGATAAGGTAATGTTGCCCTGGGTCAAGAGGGTGGCTACTCGAAAACCCTATGTCTGGAAACAGGACTCTACACCATGCCACACAAGCAGGAGAACCCAGTCATGGCTGGCAGGCAATTTCTGTGACCACATCATCCCTTACATCTGGCCACCTATCTCCCCAGACTTGATTATTATGTGTGGGGTACATTTGAGCAAGAGACCAACAAAACTCCTTGTAACACTAAAGATGAACTGAAGGCCAAGATTATAGTAGCATTCATCAACTTAAACAAGGAGACCATCCAGAAGAGTTGCAGGAGATTCTGAAGTTGTCTGGAGGTCATGGTTGAAACCAATGGTGATTATATTAAATAAATTTACTCTTTAATATTTCAAGATATTTTTGTGTAATTTTGGTAAATATATCTGTAAAAATTAGATGTCAATGTTATTTTTATTTTTGCATAATTTAGATGACAATTTATCTAACAAACCCTGTACAATAATAATAATAATGGAGAATAGGATATATAAAATTCGATATATCAGAAAAATGCATAGGAGAGACTTTGAGAAATTTAAATAAAAGTTTATGTAAGCTTTCTTTTATAAAACAATGCACTCAGTGCATTAGTCATTAAAGTAAGGAATAGGAGTAAAAGCTTATAAAAAAATTAAAAAAAAACATTTTTTATACACTTTAGTATACAGGTGTCATACAAAAGTTCAGTAAATTTAGACAGTGTCTACCAACTAAATGTCATAGAGATATTTTCACTCTAGTCCTTATCATTTGTGAAAAAATTGTAACATACCCAAGGGGATTGTTTGAAGAGGGTGGAAACTAGGTGTTAAGGAAAATTGTCTTCTTAAAGGTTAAATCCCTTAAACTTTTATGTAAGACCTTGCTTATAGATGGGATATACACACATAGTCATGTTATAGCTAATTTTAGAAAACTGCTGTCAGTTATTTTTTGTAACCCAGAAAGCAGTAAAGCAGCTGCCATATGAGTTAAAGTTTCATCAGATATTTATCCTTTACTTTTTTCTATGCTGTACAATGATAATTATGAAATGACAATCTAACAATTGCATTAAAAAAAAAACGCCAGAAATTATGATGACAGAAATTCTGGACAAAAATTAATAATAATTGACAATGCAAGTCATATTATTACAGCAGTTATCTCCCTTGAACACAGATGACAATCTGGAAGCTGCAATAGAAATAATATAAAATACTCATAAAAATTAATACTAATTGACAATGCTTTATTTAAGAAACTGAAGTATATTACACTTTATTACAAAATGTAAATAAGTAAGAGTAATAAGAAGAAAAAATGCCTGTGAAAGTTAATTATCGACAATAGTTTATCTTACAAATCCTGATGACTTAAGACTAACTTCTTATTGATACTCAGAAATAAGAGAAAATACATACTAATCAAACATTAATAATAAGAGACAATGCTTTATCTAAGAAATTCAGACTTAAGTATTTTTTTTCTACATACATGTGAAAGCACATGTGATACTCTGCCCTCGTCAACTGCCAACCAGGTTAGGTAACACAATTTCGGTGGCTCAGGAGGTTCTGCCACTCTCGGCACCACCAGCAGCTTTTGCCACTGGACAAGGTATTGTTTTTTTATATAGACATATCAGTCTGTAATTTTTATGCAACTGTAAGTCAGATTTTCAACATTCTGTTAAAAGCATTTGCTTTTGATCATTAAAAAAACACAACATGCTCATAGTGACTGACATAGAATGGAAGATAAGCAGATATGTTTAAATCATTCAATGTCAATAAGTAAGAAGAATGAATGGCCTTTATTCTTATATTTCAAAATATGAATTAAGAAAAAAATATCCCTCAAATTCCTATTTCAAAAACTTTTGGAAAATTGACACAGACCACTGCATTTTTTTAATGAAAATTGTTAGTGCCTATTAAGATTAAGTGTAGTTGGTGTAAAGCTTAGCAGCTTCAAATGAGAAATCGGCAAGCCAATTTCAAATTCCAGTTCTTAACATTCCTTTTCATACAAAATCACCTGGGAAAGTTATGACTCTGTCTCTCCTCACCTAGCTATCAATTAAATATCAGTGTAGATTGAGCTCTTTACCAGTGGTTGGCAACCAGTTGAGAAGAGAGACAAACTCAAACTTTATGTAACCCTGCCAAAGAACATACCATCCAGCCAACAAAAGGATCATGAAATCTACACTGTCACTATGATTGTGATAGAAAAAATGGATAAAGAGTATACTTTGTCACAGTTTCTATTTTGTAAATACTTTCTAAATAAATTTTATTTAAAAATCCCAATTTCTTATGAAGCAAATATCATGATCATGAGTTCTGTAAACTGCTAGGGTTGTAAGAGGTCCACACTAGCACTAGGGTTTCCTGGGCAAGACAGCCTCATGGAATTCAACACTGTCTAGGCTGTTTTGAATTCAGTTATCCTTCTCTTAGACTAGTTGCTAACCAAGGCTATAGGACCTGGTCTATCTTGCTTTTTATCCATGACTGGCAGGAAGGAAAGATAGATTAATACCTTTCCCAATTAGCACATAAGTGAATGTAATGAACTCAACTGGAATTTGAACTCAGCTCTCCAGTTCCCCAATCTGAGCCACAATCTTTTACTCCGCTGTGCCTCTGAAACAAGTACAGCCAATATAACATTCCAATTTCTCAGGAAGGAAATATATCCAATATTAAAATTATTAAATGAAACCTACCTGATGCAATGTTTCAGGCCAATCAAATTGTATTATATTTCAGATTCTTTAGACATTAGACTATATACCAGACCTTTCAAATTACATACTGTATGTAAAACCTTTTATCATGTTTCAGATCTTTTACACACCTTTTACTGTGCATATCTTTATTCAAAATCCAATTTTTTTTATATCTTAAAAATATAGAAAATGTATTGTTTTCCTCTGAATGTTTTACTTTTCTATGAGAATTCATTTAATTCTGCTCTCTTTTCAATGGAAGATTTATGAATTTAATGAAGTACAGAAAAAACAAAGGTTCTCTCTCGTTAGGTAAAAAGTGGCAATAAATGTCTCTGATTGAGTACAAGGAACTGAATTAAACTAATCTTGTCTTTCAATATGAGTATCTCTTAAAATGATTATGCTTTTTACAAGGTGAAAAGCCTTTAGAATTTAACTCTGAACATAAACTCCCATCAGCAAATAAGGGAGATAATTTAAATGAAAAAAAAACGATTCTCCAGTGACTTCAAAGCTTGGATGAGCGGAATGTTGAATGTATTGACATACAGACACTGTTGAAAAAAACGTTCCACTTCAATGCTTTAGGCAAGAAAAGAAATTATTTTTCTCTATAAAAGAAGACAAAAAAAAGGAAAATTCTGAAAAATACAATTACAAATGAAAATATATAGGTAGACGTGACACTCATAGCCTCAGTTTTCAAGAAGCATTTCTTTTATATTATTGGTGGGTAAAGATAAAAATAGGCGGCAAACATGAATAGTTTTCATGCTCAGAGTATTAATGATAATCTTAGATTGATAGGATTGAAATAGTTATATATATATATATATATATATATATATATATATATACTGACCACTAATATTATCTATCTATCTATCTATCTATCTATATATATATATATTGACCACTAATATTATCTATCTATCTATATATATATATATTGACCACTAATATTATCTATCTGTCTATATATATATATATATATATATATTGACCACTAATATTATTATCTGTCTATATATATATATATATATATATATATATATATATATATATATATATATATATATATATATATATATAGACCTATATATATATATATATATATATATATATTATCTATCTATCTGTCTGTCTATCTATCTATCTATATATATATATATATATATTGACCACTAATATTATCTATCTACCTACATATATATATTGACCACTAATATTATCTATCTATCTATATATATATATATATATATAGACCATATATATATTATATATCTATCTATCTGTCTGTCTATATTATTCTATATATATATATATATATATTGACCTGTCTAATATTATCTATCTATATATATATATATATATATATATATATATATATATATATATATATATTACTAAAGAAATTTAGTGAAGAGTTGCTAACCATAACTGATAGTTTCATGCAATCATCATGTAGCATCAGGGACCAACTATCTGATGACTATGTGAAAATGCATTAAACTTTTAGCTATGATTTGCAACAAAGGCCAAGATTATAGTAGCATTCACCAACTTAAACCAGGAGACAATCCATATGAATTACAGGGCATTAAAAAAATATATCTGTTAAAATTTTATTTTTTGCCTTAATTCTGAAGACAATTTATCCTTTGCACCTATATATATATATATATATATATATATATATATATATATATATATATATATATATATATATATATATATATATATATATGAATAATATACAAACATAGGCAAGGTAAGTATGTATCAAAAGATGGCAAAATGTGTAATTAAGTCAATAGAACAGCTTTTCACTTTTAAAAATTTATCAGACTTTGTCTGGTTTCTATATCCTATTTATACACACACACGTGTGTGTGTATGTTATGGCTTGTATATATGTATAGGGTGCAAGAGATAAATTGTCTTTTAGATTAGGCAAAAATGAAAATAACATTGACATCTCATTTTAACAGATATATTTAAATTTATCAAAATTACATAAAAAAAAATTCTAAATACTAAAATTGCCATTGGCTTCAACCACAGCCTCCAGATGACTTTAGAATGTCCTGTAACTCATCTGGATTATCTCCTGGTTTAAGTTGGTGAATGCTACTAAAATCCTGGCCTTCAGTTCATCTTTGGTGTTACAAGAAGTTTTGTTGGTCTCTCGCTCAAATGTACCTCCTCACATAATAATTAAGGGGATTGCAGTCTGCGAAGATAGGTGGCCAGATGTAAGGGGTGATGCGATCACAGAAATTATCTGACAGCCATGACTGGGTTCTCCTGCTTGTGTGGTATGGAGTCCTGTTGCCAGACATAGGATCTTCTAGCAGCAACCCTCTTGACCCAGTGCAGGACTACCTCCTCAAGGCACTTGATGTAGGCCTCCGTGTTGAGTCTGAGGCCTTCACTAGTGATCTCTCCAAACACCATGATTTTGACTGGATATATAATCCAACTCTTTCTTAATACTTTGCACTGTCCTCAGATTGCCACCCAAACACTCTGAAATGTTCATATTGGAGCTTCCAGCATGAATGCCAAGCAGTACATTATACCATTTGCAAATTTCTCAAAGAATGAATTGCGTCACAGTGCTCTTTTTCTCAGAGATGTCCCTAAATAACCCTACTATACAGCTGACAAAATCAAAAACAAACAACGTGAATTAATGAATGAGAGTTATAAGAATTTGGCTCTGGCTCTGCTGGTTTGAAGAGCCAAATTGGCAAAATGAGTTACCTGTGAGTATAATTGTTATTATCTTTTAATCTCTAATCCATCTATATATGTTCACATTCATTTGATTAAAATTATATTGAGCACTTTATTAAACTTGTAAAAGATCCTTTAGCTCATTGAAGTGTAAGCGTTCTCGAAACAAATTTGTTACTTTCACAACACAAAGAAAGAATCACTTGTAACGCGTCAGGAAAATAACTCACTCTCCAACAAACGCCGTAGCCAAAAATGCCCGAATTTTCCTTCAGCAGATCGCACACAAAACACAAACTTTTTTCCGAGGTACCTGATTATCTCATTCACTACACTCCCCCCTGTCACATAAGTGACACTCATGGGCGGGCCTCTTTATTCTTAAGCTTCTCCGGAGCAGGGCGACTGTTGGAAGAGATTGTGTGTTATATTCTGAGGTTTCTTCTGATTTGACAACCTCAATACACAGAGTCTTCATCATCTGAAGAGGTCTGACAACCTCACGCACAGAGCATCCTAGCCCTCTGATGGTAATTATTTGTTCACTTTCTGAGCACTCACTGCTAGGGTCACTTGTTGACATATCTGTACCTACATAGCGACGAAAGTCCTTTATGTGTCTTGGTATGCCATCAACCAGCACAGAACGCGAGTTACTTAGTCCAGTGACATGCCCCACCCGGTACCGGGTTGTACACCGGCTTTTTTCCGGGGTATCTGATTATCTCGTTCACTACACTCATGTAGTTGGTCCATTTTATATCTATAATCTAAACTTATATATGTGATTGTTTGTATTTGCCAACAGAATCAACCTGTGGCTTATACTGTAACTCTACTGAGTAAACCTTAGTTACAGTCTCTGGGTAAGATCACATTAGCAACAGTTTAAACAAGTCCATATCATGTTGAAACACCAGTTCTCATACAATCATTGAAGTTAAGCAACGTTGAGCCTGATCTGTAACTAGATGACTGACCACTTGGGAATACCAGGTGATGCAAGCTTGGATATGTGAGTGGTGCAATGGGTAAGGGCTTTGTATTGTTAATTGGAGAGCCAAGTTCCAATTCCTGTTGGGTTTGATATTCACTTATGCACAAATATTTAGATGTATGAATCCACCTCTTTCCCCCTAGCTATGGGTTAATTAGTATAATTTGTATCACTAAAATCTTTATTATCTGCAAAAAAATATTATAAACTAATTATATTTTCTGGCTTTAAATAACTTGCAAAGTGTTAAGCTGTAGAAAATGAACTGACTCAATCAATAAAACAAAACCCTCAGTCATGATGGCTTGTGGCTTAATGCTCACACAAACACCAACAGCTTCCAAACAGTTTCATCTACCCAATTTCACTTACTTGGCTTGTGTCAAACCGTTTTCAGGCAATTCCCAAAAGCTGTTGCATGTGGAGATCGTTTCTTTGACAAATCAACTATGCTGGGAGTTGAACTTAGATTTAATGGCCAGGAAGCTAATATTCTAACCACTCAGCTATGCATTTATATTTATTTTCATGTATAGTACATGCAAACAAATATAATCAAATGTCTGTGTTGTTGTTGTGTGTGTGTATATATATATATATATATGTGCTTGTCTATAATGTAAGTTTTATTGATTGTTTATTCACTACTAAACTTTACCTATTCCTCTGGGGTCATTCTGATATTTGTCTTTCCATGCTTTATTTTACTTCTTTCTTCTGGGTGCTGGCAGCAGAGAACCTGAGAATTATAGAATGATGGTATTGGGTTACCAGTGTAAGTTCTTCACCAGTCAATGAAGCATGTTCTGTGTTGTGCAAATAAATGATTTTTTTTTTATCTTCTTTTGGAATTGAGAGAAAGTACAGAGTATTGCATTTTCCTGAATATTTTGAGGTTTTATGTTTTCTTTATATCTCATTCTTCTTCTTTTTTTTTTTGCCAATTTCTGATTTTCAGCTCACATATAATGTAATAGTAATGGTCCCTCAGAGAACATTATATCTGAAAGAAGTAGTCGTAAAAAGTCAAGAAACACGCAATCATCTTAAGTTTTGTATTCATCAGTGTCCTGAATTATTAACAACTATCTAAATGTATCTCATTTTTAGTTCTTTTAGATATTTATATTTTATATTCATTTTTAGTCCTTTTAAATATTTATTTTAGTCAGTTAAAAACCATCCAACAATCTCTGTCAATATAGTTACATCTGTTTGCAATTGTCTTTTTGAATGTGTTGCTGTCGATCTCATTTTAGTTCATTTCTCTCTCACTATTTGAATTAATGCGCAGGTCTTTTAAATTTATACATATGTGTTTAGCGGTCTGCTTTGGACTGTTTATATTGTTATGGAGTGGTTTCACAGTGGAGGCTTTTATTTGTACTAAGTCGGTCCTAAAATAGGTTCGACGTACAAAACGTTAGGAACTTGATATAATAGGTAATGACGCAGAGAAATCTAGTTGTGGTCGCTGATACTTTAGTATCTGACTAACAGTCCGAACCACTGAGTGACCTCCCTTGTTATTCTTACTACTCCTACTTATTATAGGTGGGAGAGTCTATTAACTATAGAATAGGTGTGTTCCACTATAACATATATCTATCTCTCTACAAATCTATCCCAGGGTTTTTCATATGTATCTCTCTATACATCTATCTTATAGTATATTATATGTATCTCTATACTTGTGTATTTAGGCAGCAATCCTTCATTTATGCATCTTTCATTAAAAATGGCAGACAAGACGCTACAGTTAAGTTTTTATTTAATTTTTCTTGTGTTCAGAAAAGTGCTTTCCTTTTTGGACACAGTGTCGAGAAATGGTCCAAATGTTCTCTAATTCCGAGCACTTTTGGCTATATTTTTAGCCATTATCAAAGGTGATTTTATTTGTTCAGTTTGAGAGTGTGCATTAGGTGTATGTTTTTAGTGTTATAGAGAATGTTTTATTTTCCGAACACATTTAGCACATTGTGGCCTTTTTTTGTAGTTAATATTGTTAAGTGTTGGCTTTTTCTTTTTTATTATAAGGGCTTCCATTATTTTTAATCTTTTTTTATGGGTGGATGAGGTTATTATGTTTGTGTTTTCTACTAGTATGTTTAAAATAGAGTCTGATAAGTTTGTGTGTGTCTTTCAATGGGTTCTAATAGAGCTCTGGTCAGATAGGTGTAACATAAGTCATCTGGATAGGCATGTAGTCATGTGACTGATGTAATTATTTATGAATTCAGTTTGATCCGGAACACAGTTCTTTAACACATAGATAATGTTCGTTCATTGTAATTTTGACTTAGCTGGTGTTGTTATTTTTGAGGATAAGGTTAGCTGCCTTAAATTTTTATAGTAGATAATTAATTTGATTTTTTTCTTTGGCTCAATTGGGGTAGTGTATATACTTATCTATCTTAGGGCTTGTCATAACTATCTCTCTACCCGTCTATCTTAGAGTTTGTCATAACTATCTCTCTAGACATCTATCTTAGGGTTTGTAATATGTATCTCTCTAGACATTTATCTTATGGTTTGTCATATGTATTTCAATACACAACTATCTTAGAAATAATCATATATGTTTTTATATGTATAGATATGCATATATAATTTTCAAAGAATCTGTGTAAATTTATATCAGATAAATGGTCTGGTGCCTCTGCTATATATTTAGAGGTTCTTGATAAAATTCAAAGAATCTCAATGTTATTGGTCCTGACATGGCTTCCTGGCTTCAGTCACATTCCTACTGCTATAATGTAGCTCGCCTTTTCCTTTTCTATAAATACTTTCATGATAATTGTTCTGATGAATTTTGCTCTATGATACCTAAACTTTATTAATTTAAGTGCAGTACTAAATTGACAACAAGGTTTCATCATTATAAAGTTGAATTGAATAGACTGTAAGTTCTATGCTAACAGTTTCTTTTGTCACATTTGTCACCTGTAGTGCTCTCTTCCAGCTTCTTTCTTGCCAACCAACTTTGATCTTTAAAAATTTAAATGCAATATCAATTGTGATCTACTCTCCTTCTATTGATCTAGCTCTTTAATAATGTTTTCTTTTTCTTATTCTTTCGCCTTAGTGGCTTTATTGCTCAGTGATTTAGTTGGGATGAAATGATTACAACAAAATATTAAATAGTGAAAAAAAACATAAATGAACCAGATTGTGAAATTTGCTGTTGGTAATATGAAATAAAATATTGTCTTTAAGTTATTTTTAAGATAAATTAAAATATAAAATCTATAGGGATATATTATTTATGCTTGAGAGTGTAGATGTTTTTTTTTTCTCTCTAAAAATGTGAAATAAAATTTTAAAGAAATAATTCAAGAAAAATTTCCCCTAAAATATTTGGTAAATGTAAAAACTGTTTCCAAGTATATAGTTAAAAAAAAAAAAAACAATGGCCAATAGGGTACAGATTGCAGAAGCAAAATTCATTTTGGAATAAACATGATCCAAGATTTCTAATAGCCACAGTCGTAAACCTGTAAAGTTCTGTATGTCAAAAATAATTAACTGAATTAAAGTTGTCATGGAAAAAGAAAAGAAAGAAAAAATGTTAAAGTAGAAGGACTGATAACTGTAGACAGATTGAAATTGATAGAGATAGATATGAACAGAGAGAGAGAGAGAGTGAATTATTAGCAGAGAGCGATAGATACAATGAGAAATAGATATGAGCAGAGAGATAGATACAGAGAGAGAGAGAGATCAATAGATATAAGCAGAGTCAGAGAGATATGTGAGAGATAGATACAAGCAGAGTGAGATATGTGCGAACAGACTGATAATTACAGATAGACAAAATATGTAGACAGACAACAGTAATATATAAACATATTGATATAAATAAGAGTGGGAGAGATGTTGTAACTGAATCTTCTTGAATTTCCATATTTTTCCCAAACTAAGATAGATTATCTTGCTTTTTAAAAAATTAATTATTACTATTCTCCTTCATTCACTTTTAATGAGATAATTATTTTTTTCATGAACAAGTTGAGTGCTGACCTTTTTAAAATACGCTCTGACTTGTTCAAAGCCAGAAATTGAAACTCTCTCGTTTTCTCCTGATAATTAATCTTCTTCACTCTCATTAATGAAGGCGATAAATTTTCATCCAATTTCAAGGAAAAAGATTGAAATTCTATCTTTTTCAATTCATGCCAATTTATGAAGCGAAAAAAAAAATATCAGGCATTTACATTGATGACAATTTAAAGACAAATATTTGTGGTATAGATTTTAGCCTCTTGGGTACCATTAAAGCCTCATTTTGATATCACCAAATGGTATCTTTAAAATTTGGTAATCAAGGGAATATATTTGTTAATGGAATCATCATCAAACATATTGAGTGATTTATCTTTTAACTGACCTCAGAATATTTCCTTCATTCTTTTTTAGATCTTTTGATTTTACTTTTGAGATTTCTGTAAAAAAATTTGCTTCCATTTTTTTTTTTTTGATTTTTGCCTGTCAAAGAATATTTAATATTCTTCTGCTTCATTTTCTGAAAAGATCTCAATATTTCTCCCCATGGTGCCTGGAGGCAGAAGTCTGAAGAATTGGCACTTGACGGTTTAAGGATCTTCTTTCTGGTTTCTTCAATGTCTCGACCTAATCTTTTGCATTTCATACGAAGCAAAGAAAAAGAAAAATAGAAATAATTTTTTTTCCTATAAGGATACAGAAATATTCATAAGATTTGTAGAAAATAATATATAAAAATAATCAAGAAAACTTATCTTTAAAGAGAGCATCCTAATGTTGAATATCAATTTACAAACAGAAAACAGAAAGATGATCTTTGCATTTTAAAAGTAAAACTTTTTTTTTGGTTCATTTTTGTTGCATTAAAGGCTTGGCAAACGTTTAATGGAGCATGACAGAAGGGAAACATTAAGGAAAAATTAAATTATCTTTTTAAAGGATATAATTAAATTAAAAATATGGTTTATTTTTCACATTTTAAAATTATTTTTATAATTAGATTC